GTCTATGACTCTATCGATCTATTTCTCTGTACACACCTACATATCCGTATCTCTATACGTATATGTAAATATTTCCTCATTTTTATATTGCCCTTTAAATGCATGTTGCTTTCATATGGATGTCATGCGCTGCACAAAAACTGATCAGAAATATCCAAAGTGTCACCTGTATACAACCGCTTTATCAGATCAATGGTCAAAAAAGGTTTCGTTTGAAGTTTGGGTGTCTTAGCAAATAGCATCCTTCTTTGAAAATTGTGGACTGGCGCCATAGATTCACAAACAAAGAACTATATCAAATAACAGAAAGCATCATTTGCAGACTACCAACAGTATCAACAACTAAAATGGATAGAACACATAATTCGAAGAGAAACTAATCAAGATGCTGACATTTCGCATTACTTCAAATAAACGGTTAGGAATGAAACGTCCATAATATCTTAATAAAGCGATAACAGATACTAAACTTGAGAAATCTATTTGCCTGGAAAGTTATTTGAAGAGAAAAAAGTTATAAATTTCAACCTAAAGCACTACAGGCTGTTCATTCAGTGCATGCCAAATGTTTCTTTGTAGGAAAACGGCTAATATTACCATTACCACGTTTTCAACCATCCACGAAGCCAAACCTGTCTACCGTGGATAACTTATATAACTCACTTATATATAGTGCGCTCCTATACGTCCCTCAACCGCTAGAAGAAGGCTGAGATTTTCTGAAGACAAGGTATTTTCTATTTCAATTCCTTTCTTGTTTTAACTTCATCTCCATCAATTCACTTTGGCTGGTGCAAAAACAAATGCATCAGGTATTTTCCCGCCATTTCCGTTCGTTTCATCAAGACAATGCTGGGAGCTGAATTTATTTATTTATTTATTTACTTATTTAGATTCTGTTTTGATTTTTAACCTTTGAATTTTTATATTTATTTATTTGCTTTTCATCTTTGTACATTGAAGTAGGTTTTTGTTGAAGTAAGTTACTTGGCCTTGATTTTAAATTAAAATTCGAATTTAATCTATTTCTCATCGTTTATTTCTATTCAGCATCGATGTTTTTTATCATCAAGTATTGACCCGTCGTGAATCGATTACATTATCGTGTTTTGTTTGTTTTACTTTCATTAATTTTTTGGGGAAAAAAAGCAAAAAATTCAACCAAGCATTATTCCTTTCTACATTTTTTGTTCCCAGGATTCCTTTCTCTGTCGATAGATCGTTCATACTCTGTATTATTTCGGGGAAAAAAGCATTCGATTTTTCTTTATCCTCTGAAAGAAACTTGTTTTTTGCACACATTTATCTTGCAATACTTGCTTTCATTAGACTTACCATACTTCTCTTTTTTTTTTTTTGTTTTTTCATTTCGTTTTCTCTTTTATTACAATGACAAAATGTAAAACTCGTTAAGAAACTCTTGGCCTTTCGCCAGACGAAATTTAACTTCATAAATATCGATATACATGCATACTTCAGTTTTTGTTTCGTGAGTTTCTACCACTTTGCCCGTACAACGATTATCAGCAAAACAAAATCAATTTGATCTTCTTGGAAGTCGACTCTGCAGCCGTTCGCGAGGAGAAGACGATCGAGTGGAACTATAACATTTCTCGAATATTCAGACAGATAGATGTAAATAAATATACTGTTTAATAAATAAATAAAAACAGAACATTTGCTTAAATATGAGCATCCATTAAAACTAATGTTTAAACAAATAAATTATATATATATATATATATATGTATATATATATATATATATATATATATATATATTGTTAGAAAAATATGTCGGAGCACGAATATTTTTCGAACAAAATTTCTCGAATATTCAGGCCGGTAAAAGTAAATAAATAAATATACTGTTTAATAAATAAATAAAAACAGGCCATCTTCTCAAATATGAGTATCCATTAAAAAAAATTATGCTTAAACAAATAAATTAAGAAATCTCTCGGATTTAAATCCATTTTGTAAAAATTGTCTTTGTTCATATATATATATATGTAAAAATTCCAGAGAGTATATCTGTAAAAGGACAATATAATAAAAGACAAAACGAAAACTTATCTTAATTGCTTTTTGCCTTGATAAAGTCGACTCAGATAAGTTTTCTTTTTCTTTTTTCACACACATATATATATATATATATATATATATATATATATATATATATATATATATATATATATATATATAATATCGCGCATTGAGTGCCGGTGTTAATAAAATGATGCTTGATGTAAAATAAGAGATCTATAAAGTATATATTAATAATAAATATAATTTTTTTCCTAACCAGTAGTACATACACAACGCAATTTTCAGGTGCTGTCTGAATTTCAATTTTTAATATGCATACTAATTCATATCTACAAATTCCTATATATAGGTAGATAGATAACACATTTACAAAAATACAAAAGCATATTTAACTCAATACAAGATCCAAGAACCACTCAAGCTATAGATTACTGTATACGGTTGTATGAGAATAGGAAAAAGGAAAAAGTGCAGTAATTATGTAAGGAAATAATGCTTAACCCTAGACTTGAAGCGGTCAAGCTTGTTGTGAACTGGTGAAACATCCTGCCTAGGGTCAGTTCCACAAAGCAGCAATTCTTGGGAAGTAGCTGTCTGAGTGGAACTTCCTTATTACAAATGGAATCTGAAGGGAATCAAGATAATTCGTTCCTGTGTACGTGGCATGGCGTATCCCACCTGCAAAAGTTCCGGATATTGAAACCAAATAATATAGTTCGTCAGAACAATTGCTATGGAAATAGCGATAGAGTAGCGAGAGGCTTGCGACGTTTCGCCTGTGGGTAATGGGTTGTAGGGTAGAAAATAATGAGAGAGAGAGAGAGAGTAAACCAATGCAAGACCCAAGGGCTACTTACAATCAATCTAGTGTTAACGAGCAAGATTGACATTATAAGTATGTGTAGGATACATATCGGCTGACCCTCGACTTGAAGAATCAAGATTGTAGTTGTCAGGGAAGCATCCCCTAAGGAGTTTCTCCCACAAAGTAACAGCTCTGAGGAAGAAACTGTCTGACTGAAACTTCCTCTTTACCAATTGATTACGAAATTTACTTTAAGCATATTTTCGATATTTAATTTTCCTCGTTTCCAGTACATAATTAAATAGAAATCGTCCAATATAACGAAGGGAATGGGGATGGTTTGCCAACGTGAACATTACACGTCCAAGCTGAGAAGCTCTGAGCTGGTGACATATATATATATATATATATATATATATATATATATATATATATATATAAAACAAGTTCACAATATTTATCGATGAACGACCAAAACATTTGTGATGTCAACGTTCTTCAGCGTTAGATAAGAATATTCGTATCTGACCCTGAAAAGCGTTAATACCGCGAAACATTTAATCATGAATAGATAACCTTTTGCTTATTGATAATAACTATTGCTCTGGGTCTCTCTCTCTCTCTCTCTCTCTATATATATATATATATATATATATATATATATATATATATATATATATATATATATATATATATATATATACACTGAGCATTATTACTGATAAAATTCTGCTGACATTAATATGCATTAAATTACGTAATTTTACGTATATCCATAATTTTTCATATTATGAGTATTAGTAGCATCATTTTATTATATAATGGAGCAGATTATGCAAACCATCGTGAAAATTGTGAGATAAGCATGAAATTTGGCATAATTGTCCCTGATAGGTCACTTTTTCAGAAAAAAGTTCTAGCCACGAAAAAATCCAATATGGCTGCCATTTTTCAAGATGGCTGCCAAACAGACCTCTGTTTCATTCATTTTGATCAAAAATCATAGTGCAAATTGTGATATAAACATGAAATTTGGCAGGAGTGTTCCTTGTAGGTAGGTTATTCAGGTGAAAGTCGTAGCCACGAAAAAATTTCAATATGGCAGCTTTTTCTCAAGACGGGCCTCTGTTTCATGGTTTTACTCAAAAACCATATTACAAATTGTGATATAAACTTGAATTTTGGCAGGAGTGTTCCTTGCAGGTCTGTTTTCAGATAAAAGTTCTGGCATTGTGAATACTCAACATGGCGGCCATTTTTTCAAGATGGCAGCCAGTGCCTCATAGCTAATTGATAAGGTCGAGTAGTGGCAGTTCATCCAGGAGACAACATTCAAATTGAAATGTGAGGAGATATGAAGACAGTGTATGTCGCTCACTACCAGGGCACACTGGTGACAGACACTGCTGTGGAACTGAGCATGGGGTTCGATGTCAGCTAAACATTGAGTTTAGTATCCCAAATTCTATCTAGTAAGCCCCTAATATATTAGATAGACGTATCTGAATGGATAGGTTGTGCCAACGCGGGACAGCCGAGCCAAGCATAACAGGGGCTTTTGAAGTTATCTGGATGGTGTACAGATCGCACGGGATTCAAATGGCATTGGATGAACGATCGGGCTAGGTGTAGGGCAGTTGCGTGAACCAAAGTTGTATCACATACATCAAAGTGAGCAAACGGTGGTAAAAGGATAAAACCTCGGCCGTTCCTGTCAAATGATGAATAAAGATTCCACATCAAAGTGCAAATGCTGCCTTTGTTAGCAGGAAAAAAGCAAAGAAACCCTCATTTTACCTCTTAGTTCATTCCAGAGGAAGCAAGATTATGCGGGATAGAGTAATATTGCAAGAAATGTACCATTGTTTTATGCCATCAATGATATGCCGATAGCATTTGACCTTTCAAGGCTTGATGAAGGTGAAGGTAAGGAAACCACTCTGGTTTGAACTGGAGCTAAATATCATCAGAGTTGCCGATTGCTGTTCAACAACACCAAGTTAGAAAGAGCACAGCAAAGAAGAGCGGCCCCGAGCACCTCCGGAGCAAAAGTTGAACCTCGAAGGAAGAGACGAAAATCTGCAGACATTCCTAAAGTGGAATGTTTCTTCTGTGAAGAAGATGTTATTTCGAATCTGCCTGAGGGGATGACAGAGAGACTAAATGAACACCTCAATCAATGTGCCAGAAACCTGAACGATGGAAAGCTCCTTGCAAAGTTAAGTGGCGGAGACGTTGTTGCCCTAGAGGTTAAGTACCACCTTCGATGCCTCCAAAAATTGTACAATGCTGAAAGAGCGTACCTCGATTCCCTAGAGAAAGCAGAGAGTCGTGATCCAGGGAAGGATTTATACCCAGTGGCCTTTTCAGAACTAGTTATCTACATCATGGATAGCAAAGTCACCAACACGGAAGCAGCACCGGTTGTATTTCGGCTTGCTGACCTAGTCTCACCCTACAAGCTTCACTTGGAACAGCTTGGGGTTGATTCCCCGAATGTCCACTCTACTAGGTTGAAGGAGCAGCTACTTGCTCGGATTCCAGAACCTGAAGCCCATAAGAAGGGACGTGATGTACTCCTTGCCTTCAAAGCGGACATAGGACCAGTGCTCCATGAAGCTAGCCAGTATAGCAATGCTCTCCATCTATCTAAGGCAGCAGCTATCCTGAGAAAAGAAATGCTCCAGCATAAGACAAAATTCAGCAGCGAGCTCAAAGATGGCTTTGGTGAGGAGGCTATCCCACCTGCACTTCTTCAGTTCGTGTGCAGCATTGAACATGGTGTTGATTATAAAATCACATCTGACGCACGGAATAGCGAAGTTAGACTTAGCTATTGCTCAGCTTTTACAGTTCAACTGCTACTCAAAACCTAGAGAGGGATTGACCACCCAAATATATTCTAAAGACTGTGAGACCTCTTTTGCTGTCTATGTTGGGTTGAAGGTGTACGCCAAGACACGAAAAAGAGAGTTGATTGACAAATTCCATGAGCATGGAGTAAGCATAACGTATTCCAGGGTATTAGAGATATCCAGCAAGCTTGGTGAGACTGTGATAAAACAGTATGTCGAAGAAGATGTTGTGTGCTCACCAGTGCTGCGAAAAGGGCTGTTCACTACGGCTGCTGTCGACAGCATTGATCACAATCCCATGGCCACCACAGCTAGCACATCATTCCATGGTACAAGTATTTCCGTGTTCCAGCACCCAAGTAAGGTAAACAGAGGAGAACAGCGGGTTTCACCGGAAATAACAGACAGTAGGACAAGAAAGGTTCCTGAGCTTCCAGAGCATTATACAAACATTGTGCCAGCGTACTTCAAGAAGAACCCAACCCCAGCCTCAGTAGATGAAGTATCACTGCCTGACCCCAGTCTCTTCCAAAGGAACATAAGAGTCAAATACGAATGGTTGGAAAAAGTTCAAGGTACCACCGATGTAGATGATGAATCCAATATAACATGGTCAGCTCATCATGCAAGCCAGAAATGGACTAGCGAATGTGAAACCAGCATCACTTCCTTGCTACTTCTTCTCTGAGATCAAGCTCACAGTGTTGTCACAATAAAGCATGCCATGAAGAAAGTAAGGGAAGCTGTAGCATTTCTTAACCCAGGGCAAACTCCCGTCCTGGCAGCTGATCAACCACTTTATGCCATGGCAAAAGAAATACAGTGGTACTGGGCCAGAGGAATATGGAGAAGACAAGTTTGTGATCATGTTTGGTGGACTGCACATTGGGATGACAGCACTGAAGTCTATTGGGTCGATGCTAGCAGTCAGTGGATGGACAAGTGCACTTGTTGAAGCTGATGTAGCCTCTTCCAGAACTGCAGATTCATTCCTGTCGGCAACCAATGTCACTAAAACACGTCAAACACATCAGGTCACAGCATGCAGTTTGTTTCAGCTCCTGAAGAAAGTCTACAGTCCGTACCTTGCCGAACATTCTGATGGTGATGAGGAGGCCTCCAGCTTTGTGGAATGGTGTGATAGTCGAAAGAAGGAGAGTCCACAGTTCGCATTTTGATTCTCTATAATGAACATGGAATTGACAATCTTGACACTGGTGCGAGCATTTAGAGAAGGGAATTTCAATCTGTATCGAGAATCACTGTCGGAACTGATACCCTACCTCTTTGCCAACAACAATGTCAACTATGCAAGATGGCTTCCTATTCATCTGCGTGATATGATATCATTAGAGAAGCAGCACCCCAAGGTTGCCAGAGAATTCCACAATGGGAATTTCGTGGTTCATAAAACTGACAGGAAGTTCTCTGCAATGGCAATCGACCAAGCCCATGAACAAAACAATGCCGTCATCAAAGGGGATGGGGGAGCTGTTGGTCTGACAGAGGATCCATCAGCTCTTTGAAGGTGGATGGTGGCTGGTCCAGAAATTAGCAAATTCGTTGCTGACTATGAAGCTGTATCAGGAAGCAAAGAGGTAAAGAAAGGAAGTCATCACCATGAGCAATCACCAACTGCTCAGAAGGTATTCTTTGAAAAGGTTCAGCGGCTTACAAGTGTGATAGAAGAAATGGGCAATCCATTTTCGGAGGAGTCCACTGATCTACTGCCGCTTGACACTAAGGACATTGCTGATCCTACAGCAGCGCTGCTGGTTGCATCTCATCTGGAGAAAGGGAAAGTGCAATTCCAAACATTCATGGATAAACTCAAGACCGACAGTCAGCATTTCTATCAGCCAATCAAACAGAATAATAAAGACTTCTTCAAAACAAGCACAGATCCAACAGAGAAATCAGAAACACAGCTACTAAAGGAGGATTGTCAACTGTTCTCCCGCCTTTTCATCTCCTGCCAAAGCAGAGGGTGTGATTTACCAGAGTTTTTCAAACATGAGAACCAATCTTTTCTCTGTCACGCAGCAAGCGAGGCAAACTACATGTCGCTACCAAGTCTGGACATCCTACAAACCAAGGTGGAGCTTCCAGACATGAAGCCAGAAACTGACGTACTCATAGTAGATGGTGCATTTCTAGTCAATACAGTAACGCCTAGGACACCGAAGACGTTTGGAAAATATGCCAGACAGGATATTCTTCCTAAGGTGCAATACTACAGTAGCAATTACAAGAGGACAGATATCATTTTTGATGTCTATCACGAGTCTATTCGGAAGTCTGAAGCACGATCAAAATGCGGGAAAGCTATCAGGATGAGAGTAACGGCAAAGAGCAAAACACTGACTAATTGGAAGAGCTTTCTAAGGGACAGCGCCAACAAAACAGAGATGTTGAATTTCCTTGCTGACGAAGTGGGTAAAATGACCACAACGAATGAAGTAATTATAATACGAGAGGAAAATGCTCTACCAATTTCCAGCCAGCCTGATACTAAGATAGACGAATTGGCTCCTTGCACACATGAAGAGGCAGATACCAGGATATTTTTGCATGCCTAGAATGCAGCTAAGGATGGACACAAGTCTCTCATGATTGAAGCTAATGACACGGACATTGTAGTCATAGGCTTAAGCATGATGTCTTCTTTCACTGCAATGGGCATGGAGAAAATGTGTATCGCCTATGGCAAGGGGGAGCACACTTGATGGATCCCAATACACGACCTTGCATCTTCTTTGGGACTGGAAAAAACCGAAGGGATACTATTCTTCCATGCGTTTTCCGGATGTGATGTGGTATCTGGATTCAATGTCAAAAGGAAAAAAAGCATGGCACACATGGAATGTTTGTAACGATGCCTCGGCTACATTTGCGAAACTCAGTCACAGTCCTCCTGAAATTAATGAGTCTGATCTAGAAGTTCTAGAGAGATTTGTTGTTCTGATGTACGACCGGTCAAGTGCTGCTACTACAGTAGATGAAACAAGGTTAGATCTCTTTGCCAGGAAGAAGAGGTCATACGAATTAATCCCGCCAACACAAGGAGCGCTAAAGGAACATGCTGCCTTCCAAACAGGACATATCTGGGAGCAGTCCGTCGTTCATGATCCATAGCTTCCGTGTCCTTCCAAGTGGGGATGGTTGAAAGACGGTAACAAATGGAAAGTTTCCTGGACTTCCTTTGAACCAATTTCTAAAAGCTGTTGTGAATTGACAAAGTGCGGATGTAAGATAAAATGTGGTGGAGGACGATGCAAGTGCTCAAAGGTTGGAACAGGCTGTACTCCGCTTTGCAGTTGCCCTTTTGAGATTTAGTAAACAACAACGAATGAACTTCGGGCTGGACTTTTGTCACCGGTTCTTGGAAGGTTAGCCTATTGAAATTCAAATGCAGAGAGTTGTAAAGGATATAATTCACTGAAACGAAAAGGGCTTTAATCGCTAGTTCATCCTCAGATATTTGCGTCCAGGTTCTAACACACGGTCAGTACTCTCAAATCCTCGGTGACGATGACTTGTGACTTCATGCTAGCACAATTATATATATATATATATATATATATATATATATATATATATATATATATATATGGGGGTCCAACATTGCTGGATAGAAGCAGTGTGTTTCACGTCTTAAGTTATCCTCAGAACATTTTTATATATACAAACACTGTCTGTTTAGCCATTTCAAACCTCGACAGCCACTCAGAGTGCTACCATTAAAATACCTATGATATGACATAATCAAAGAGAAGACGGTAGGAAATGAAGATTATTTGGGCAGATAACAACTGACTCTTGACTTACAGAGCGAAGTGATTGCAGTGTTCAGAAAAGCATCACTGCGGGAGACTCTTCTAATAGTGATTGGGAAGAAAGTGTCTGGGTGGAACTGAAATAAAGGTGAATCAATGTAGCATGAGGTTTCCGAAAAGTAAAGTTTTGAACTGGTGAAACTAAAGAATGGAGCACTATTCACCAATTATTATAAAAAAAAAATAATACTCCTGTATCATAAACAATATTAAAACAAGTTTCGTCTCACCCGACACGAGAAGAAACATAGTATTAATCGTGAAAACACAAGATAAAATGATTCAAAATATATATATATATTTTTAACATCAGTCATGGCTGATCATGTATATAGGGGATATCGTAGTCATCAACACTATGAAGTAAAAATAGGGACAAACAGTGGGGAATCAGACATCTGAAAGGATCAGCACATACACTAGATTATGAGGACCTCCTTAGTTGTCCTATCATAG